GCATAGATAATGGAGAACCGCCACAAAATGTAAACTATGTACCATATGGACCCGATCCTTGCAAGAGCATTAATCGCCTTTACAAGGGCCAGAGAGGGTAAGTAAATTTGTAATTTTAAAAAAAGACATTCTGTGCTATAGTATTTTATATTTCTAGCACCAACGACGTGATCGTTTTTTCCGGCGGCATGCCGCGTTCAGCGTATGGGGATCATAATTGCGTTTCAGTACATGTCAGCGATGGACACAAAGTATGTCTCGACTTTACATCTAAGGTTATAGACTTTTTTGTTACGTACAAGGAGGGAAGTGACGACGTTGAAGTACTGATTGTTTTGCTGGAAGAAGAGCTGTGCGCATACGACCTGACCGACCCTAGTATTTTGTCAATCAAGGCTCCCTATCTCCATTCAGTGCATGCGTCAGCTGTGACATGCAACTATCTTGCCTCTCAAGTCACCCAGGGAGTGTACGAACGTATTTTACGAGCAGGAGATGAACAAGATATCGACTACAGCAGTATTGACTGGCCCATCACCGGCGGCGTGTTGACCGACGATTCAGTTGAATCTGATGAGGACGAAGTGGTGAAAGATTACGAAATACTTTTAACAGGTCACGAGGATGGGTCGGTTAAATTCTGGGATTGTACTGGAGTCCTGCTTAAACCTATATACAATTTTAAAACGGCAAGCATTTTTGGGAACGAGCATGAATACCGGGAAGATGGAGCTGCCGACATAAGTGCAGAACAACTTGACGAAGGAGAACCACCATTTCGTAAGGCTGGTTTGTTTGACCCTTACTCTGATGACCCGCGATTGGCCGTTAAAAAAATAGCATTTTGCCCCAAGACAGGCCAGCTAGTTGTGGGTGGAACTGCCGGCCAAATTGTTATTGCTGATTTCGACACTGCTGCCGAGGATCAAAGTTCTCTAAAGTATAACTCTATGAACTTGGTCAGCGACCGCGATGGTTTCGTATGGAAGGGACACGATCAGCTCAATGTTCGCGCCAATTTGTTAGAGGACAATGCAGTCCCATTGACCGAAAATGGGGTTAATATAACGGGAGTACTTCAAGTTCTTCCACCCGCAAGCATCACTTGCATGGCCCTGGAAGCTAATTGGGGCCTTGTGTCCGGTGGAACAGCGCATGGATTAGTACTGTTTGACTTCAAAAACTTTGTTCCGGTGTTCCACCGCTGCACATTAAATCCAAATGACCTAACTGGAGCTGGCGAGCAATTGTCCCGTCGTAAGTCGTTCAAAAAATCACTGCGAGAGTCATTTCGAAAGCTCCGAAAGGGTCGATCTACACGAAACAATCCAACCAACCAGGTGCCCACTACGGCAAGTCTTACATAAATAATTACAATTAAGAACAAAACAATTTACTGAATAATTCCTTGCAGTTGGAAGCGCGTCCTGTTGAGAGGCAAATAGAGGCACGTTGCACCGACGACGGCTTGGGATCCATGGTGCGATGCCTACTGTTCGCTAAAACTTATGTCACCAACGGTAAGTATTCCTAATAAATGCATATAACAATACATTTCGACATTAATTAATTGAATATTTATTTTCAGTCAACATAACATCGCCGACTTTGTGGTCAGCTACAAACGCTAGTACCGTTTCTGTTTTCCTCCTACACTTACCACCAGTGCAGACCGCCGCAACCACTGTACCACCCGCAAGTGGAAATGTACCACCGCAGGCATCCCGTCGTATTTCTGCGCAGCTTGCAAAAGAGATTCAGTTAAAACATCGTGCTCCTGTTGTGGGAATATCTATTTTTGATCAGACAGGTAGCCCTGTCGATCAATTTAATGCTGGAGAAAACGGTTCGCCTCCGCATCGCCTACTGATCGCCTCCGAAGAACAATTCAAAGTATTTTCGCTGCCGCAATTAAAACCAATAAATAAGTACAAGTTAACGGCGAACGAAGGGGCTCGCATACGTCGCATTCACTTTGGATCATTTAGCTGTCGCATATCGCCGGAACTATTGCAAAGTCTTCATTCCGGCAGTCCAACCAAGTCCGTACGTTCCCATGGCGAGGGCGATGGCGCTGGAAATGTGAGCGCTACGTCAGCTGCTGGACGCGGTGACTTGTACCATGAGATGGCGCTGATTTGTCTGACTAACATGGGAGATATTATGGTTTTATCAGTCCCTGAGCTAAAGAGACAACTGAATGCTGCTGCCGTGCGACGTGAAGATATCAAGTAGGTGGAAATTTACATCATTATAGTTCATAACAGTCTTATATACTATCTATTATCATTCTACAGCGGCATTTCTTCGCTCTGCTTCACCAATGACGGAGAAGCTCTGTACATGATGTCCTCTTCAGAACTGCAGCGCATCGCTCTCTCTACTTCTAAAGTGGTACAACCTACAGGCATTGTGGAGGTTGAACCGTTAGAGAGTGAGGACAACGAGACCGCATCGCTGGTGAACGACGGCGATGAAAGCGATAAGGATGGCGAAGCAAATAAAGAACTCGCAAATACTGCCTCAGACACACAACCACCAGTGGCTACGCTACGCGCCAAACCGCTAGAGCTGAACGCTGATAGAAGTAGTCTCCACCTAACTAACGGGATTAGCAATAGCAACTCACCCAACCGTGCCAATGAGACTATCACAAGCTCTATAGGTGACATCACCGTTGACTCTGTCCGCGACCATTTAAATACAACAACCACCACACTGTGTTCTACAACTACAGAGGAGACTGTTGGTGAGTGAACCACTCCCTAGTAGTTTAATATAACCCGCTTTTGTCTGTTCTCTTGTAAAAATACCCATACAATTTACATTAATTGTGCAAATGTTCTGTACTGGGAATATCACTGGTCAAATCACTTATCTATTGTCAACATCAATGTGGCTTTTATTCGTTATTATTTAAATCAGCCGAATGCTTACCATTTTATCTACCCTTTGATTTTAGATCTGCAACAGTAATTGTACAACCGACACATAATCCAGTCCAATTTGTAATATTAAAGCTGCCCACTATTTATTTCTACAATCTTCACACAATTTTAAGTGGTTTTGCATGCCCTATGTAATATTTTTAAACGACTTATGTCGACTATGTAATCTATTCTTCACTGTACATAAATATTATTAATTAAATTAATATAATTTTTCAACCGTAGGTCGATTATCTGTGCTTAGCACGCAAACGAACCAAGCCACTACTACCGTGAACATGAAGGACATTCCCGACATTAACATACCTAATTTAATGGACTTGGCATCAAAGAGGTGCGTGCTCTCATAAAACAAACACATAAGCAGTCATAATAAATCAATAAATAAAAAAATAATAATTTTCTTCAAAACAGCAACACGACAGAGACGAGCACCAGTTCTGTAGTAATAAAATCGGTAATTACGAGCATATCACACGAAAAGACAAACGGCGAGAGCGAAAACGTAACAACAAAAACCACAGCGCATGAAGAAAGTCAGTTTTAAAAAAAATGGAGCCATAAAGGCATATATTTTATACTTTATATATGTACCACACCACACCACACATGTACACATCTAAACGGCACCTTCATATCCATACAAGAAGAATATCGTGCTGAACACGATCCGAGGGCAACTGTTGCATTTTCGACAAAAAATCTATTACATATGTTACAATGCATGTTATTTTATGTAATTCAATATAATGTTAAGTTTATATTGTAATCTATACAATCCATTCGCGTGTTTACAAATTTTTAGTGGAATTTACTCCTTTTTGTATGTATTAGTCCTTTCAACATTACAAAAGCTTCATACCTGTTGCATATGAGCTGATTACATTTCCATACTTAACGATAGACAAAAAGTACAATACGGAACACGTATGCCTTATCAGAAATGACTATTTACAACAGATTTTATACAAGTATTAAACATTCAGATCATTATACAACTTTTATATAGTAACTATATCAACTATTTAATTTACTATTGTTTGAACCGCGCGGGTTTAGCGGGTAAGTTTATGTACGACTCACAGCTAAGAAGTCAAAGTTGACCTCATTTGAGCGCGGGGATATCATTCAATACTTTTTATTCTCTCTTGTAACACTTGTTGCATGCAAGCTTTGATTATTTTCGTGAGGCGCCATCCAGCGCCTAAGAATCAAGCTCAATCCGTGGACATTTCTTACATTGACCTGTTAGGGGGCTTGCCGCCAGGACACAGGCATCTGTACCGAATTTGTTTAAGCCGGTTGTGTCTCTCAGTGGAAATCAAGAAAAATCCGAAATTTGAATCGGTAGTTGAAGAGGCGGCTTAAGCCGCTATATTTTCTGCTGCGCTGAGTTGGGGACACTTTGGGAAGAACAATTAAACTACATTTAATTCGTTGTTGTTGGCCGAAAGCACCGAGCATCGGAGCGGCTAGCGCAATCGCAAAGCAGCCACACTTCAATGAGAGCGCGTTCCAAAGCGACCAGCATCGGCAAACCTACGTGCTTCGAGTGACAAAGTGCTTTAGAGTGCCATTTATGGAATTCCTATCTTCTTGTCCCGACCCACTGATCGACAACGGAAAATCAACAATTAAACGCCTAATAAATGAAATTCGTCAGTTCTTGTCCCTGGTCCGACCGAAAGTTGGGCTGCCTTCTTCCACCCAGGAGATAGGATGTGAAAAAAAACGATTGTGAAAGAGTAGAGCGAAATATGGTTAAGTAAAGGGCGCAGAACGTACAGTGGAAATGGAGTGAGATTTCGCATGGCGTTTTTTAACTTTAGATTCCGTTGCCCTCAATTTGTGCCGATCAGTAGCCATGTTGTCCCAGACCCTATGCCATTGAGATTCTTTTCCACCCACAGCATTTTAGGCGCTTGTCGAGGAAAGCACTTACGTCGATGGAGTGACCAGGTATGAGTGGATTTCTGAGCGCAATTGCGAGTCATTCGAGTATTTCCAGGGTTTTTTTTAGACTCCCTATTAGTGGATCTCGAGTGGAATGTCATGGTGTTTGGGGGTAATTGTAGAATTTTCTTTTAGTGAATAAATTAATTTTATAATGTTTTGAACTGGAAAAATGGCCACCTCAAGCACAGGGGCCATTTGGATGGTCTGGGCAGGCTGGCCTCATTAACACCTGAGGTCGAGTCAGATTAACAGAACCAGCGGAGGCAATCGGATTGAATTCTTCCCTTGATTTGTTTGTGAAAATGAAATGGATGGCAAGTGCGATTCTCCCTCCCGGAATTTAAGCTTGTACCTAACTCCACGCGTTTGCTTATCGGCGCCTATTGGCTCTTCACGATAATCATTACATCTTGCTACACCGGATCGATCATAGCGTTTGTGACATTGCCGGCGTTTCCAGATACGGTTGACTCTGTCTTAGATTTGCTCGGCCTCTTCTTTCGCGTTGGCACGCTGGGTGAGTAGCGTCAGTAGCAAGTAGTCGACGAACAGTCCGTAATAGAGCCCACGTCTTTCACATGTACATGTATGTATGCACATCCATTTTTATAGACAACGGAGGCTGGGAGACATGGTTTCAAAATTCCACACACATTCCCACGTCACGGCTTTACAGGAAAATGGAGTTCGTAGGGAGTCTGGAAGAAGGCATCGGAAACGTCACGCAAAGTTTCTTTTGGAACTACGCATTTCTTGGATCAAAAGCTCAGCTTGAATACTTGGTCCAATCGAATTTCTCGGATGAGTAAGAACTATTGCTTTGGGTAAATGATTTTTACAATGATTTTTCATGTAGAAATATATCGCGGCGTTCGGCACTTCATCTGAGCGAAGAGTGTTTCGCTCTCTTCCAAATTGGTTTCCTGTTTCCTCGAGAATCTGTGTACAAGCGAAAGATCGACTCTATGATTTTGCTGGCCCAGCAAAGCGGACTTATTAGCAAAATCAACAATGAGGTAAGCTGGGTCATGCAGCGTTCAACATCAGGTCGCTTGCTGCAGGCCAGTTCGTCCAGCTCCCTGCGAGAAATCATCCAGGAGGAACGCCAGCTGACCACCGCGGACACAGAGGGGATGTTTCTCCTAATGGCACTGGGATACTTTCTGGGCGGAACTGCCCTGGTATCCGAAATCGTAGGAGGAATCACCAACAAGTGCCGGCAAATCATCAAACGTTCTCGGAAGTCAGCCTCCAGCTCGTGGTCCTCCCAAAAGAGTTCCGCACTTGGCCCAGGTGGAGAGCGTACATCTGCCCAGAAAATAGAGCACGACGAACGCAAGGCGGCGCATCGTGACGCGGCAGACGATGGCCAGAAGATGAGTTTCGGAATGCGGGAACTTAATTTGACGCGCACAACGTTTCGTGAATTATATGGGAATTACAGCAGAGCAGATCAGCAGCAAAGCTGTGGCCACAAGCCTTCGGATCTCGTGCAGTCCCACGAGCACACCGCCCAGAACGAATCTCTGGATTGTTTGGATGAGTTAATAGCTCATTTGGAGAAGGCCGAAGCTCAAAGTGACCCTTCTTCAGCTCAGCAGTTTTTTCCTGACGAATATTTTGGTGCAAACACCGAACACGCGAGCGTCGAATGTTTTGGTCCAAACACAGAACAATCAAGCGACACAACACAGAAGTAAATAATCAAAATGGCGTATTTTACCGAAATGCAAGGGCAAAGGCGCATGCTATAACGGTTTAAACAAAAATGTAACTTCGCAAACTGTTTCTCCCTCTGTACGTCATACACCTTGCAAAATATATCTGTAAGACTCACCTTCTTGTGCTAACGCATCCAGTAAAAATCATCTAAGTGCATAAAAGGTTCAAAAGCATGCAAATCTGGGAAAGAGTCATTATTAATTTGGTTTCAAAGTAGTTCGAAAACGAGTATGTTAAAATTATTAAAGGAAATAAATTATACATTCCTCTATTGCAGTATATACTGTATGGTTAGTGTCCATAGTCCGTAGATATGTAGTTGGTATGTAGCGAATGTGTAGTTCCCAAGTACACAATTTACATTTTTGTTGTCCTTTTTTGTCTAAACCTATTCAATTACAGGTATTTCTTAAAATTATCTTAAAATTGATTCATCAATCGTATAAATTCACGTGTTAATGGCTGAGGGTCTTAGCTAGCTAGTAGTGTCAAAAGGAATATAAAAATTGAGGAATAAGATTTCCGAACAATCGACCAGTTGGTATGAAAATACTCTACGAAAGTATGAATCTTGAAGAATTTTGGAGCAGTTCAGGTGATAGAATCCTTTATTTTCCTTCTTTTAAGTAAAGATGAAGGATAGGCTGGATCTACAACATCAACTATTCAGTCAATTTTTACTCCTGTTTAAATTAAGGTGGATTTAAAGAACTAAGTTATTTTTATGTCATCGGTATATTTACGGTATATTCCGGTATATTTCTGAGGGTCAGTCACACTGGTTGCACGTAGGCCATTTATACTCGCATGCCCGCGAAATGTCGAATTTTTTCAAGCTCAAAACGCAAAATGGCACAGCAGCCATATATCTGTGTAAATTCATAAATATCTAAATAAATAAATGTAGATAAACATTAGTGTTTGAAACTAATAATTAAAGTGTATGTGTGGAACGTGTTATTTGTAGCCTCAAATCATTTCTCGCAATAAGGAAATATTTTCCCGCGCTTTCTGCCGCACTGCACAATGTGCTCACGCATATATACAATGAAAAAAAGAGTGTGTGCGTGCTGCACATTTTATATTTTTTGTTGTTTGTTTACACATGTGCGCGTTTTCGCGACATCCTCGTTCGTATAAAAATATTAAGTTAACCGTTTTTGTGCAATTCCTTCTTGTTTTTAATTTTTTCTGTTATTCTACTATAAAGTGTAAAAAGTTTCACTGAACAAATTATTATTAGTAATAATAAGTTTAACGATAACCCAAACCTTTGTTTGAAATTGAAGCCCCCAAATTAAAATTAGTGTGGCAAAATTGCTTATAATTTACTCTTCTCCTGTGCTTAAATAAGCACATCATTAAATAATAATGAATTTTGTGAATGCAAGGAGTAATATGCCAACAACTTTGGTTCTTATTATTGTGTGTTTCCCAAAAGTTTTTAATCAACATGCTTGTATGTACATACATATGTATTTTTCTGCAAAAAACTATAAGCTAATAAATAAATATTTTCCTCCAAATTTCCTCAAAAATATATTAAATATCCAAACGAATGACCATGATAATTGCAATTACATATATAATAAGAACCATCGCAATAAATGAGCAAATAAAATAAACAGGCAACCAATCGAAAATGGTTGTGGTATTTTAATTATGCGCTAAAGGACTCTCCTTACAATAGTTAATATTTATGTATGTATGTTTGTATGGACAATATGTGAAATTTTCCCAAAACTGCGATAAACTTAATCGACAATTTATCTCTCTTGTTTACAGTTCCAGTGGACCTTTATTGGGAAAAGTTGGTAAGTTTATATGTAGTACATGTAATCTAAAATACAATACATATATAGTTTTCTATGTTTATGCTTATTTGGATGTATCCGGTATATCACTCAACAGCTCGGCCGTACAATTGATTTATGCTATAATCAGTATAATGCAATATAATTTGTCACAGCATGGCGAAACAGGTAACGTATGGCATTTTCCCATGAAAATGTCTGATAAAAACTAGAATCTCGGATAAAACTAGGTTTTAGGGTACCAGCACCAACCTTCCCTTGGTATATGAACAGCGTGCTTAGTACTTATAGGAAGTAAAATTAAAGTATTTAGTTAAAAGCTGAAGGACGTGGGCGAAAATGGGGTTGCACGACGATTTCTTCAGTCGCTGGCGTATCATGACGTACGCCGAGACTGTAAAGAGCATATAAAATCCAATCAAGCAGAAGACAGACCACAAATAGTGCATGTTTTCAAAGCCCAGAAAAATTAACAAGAACTGAGATTTCTTGAACATGCAGAACATTTCGGTATCTTCGCAGATTGTATCGCCCCTTCCGTAGTCGTATAGCGCTGCTACTAGCCCCTCCATACCATGGCGCAAATAGCTAAGAGACATCAAAAATCGCATGATAGGGGAAATGTATGTATCTTTGCCGTAGCCAATGCCATATATAGACAGCAAGATCAGAGGCACAGCCAGTACAGGACCCATGAACATTCCATTCTAGAAAGGTGTAAAGGTGGTTCAGACTAGGTATCAGGCAAAGTAATCAACTGAAAAACGAAACTTACCACCAAGCTTAGTCTACTGGAAATCAGTAAGCCAAAACTATCAGAGGTTAGGGCCGTAAGAAAGGCTATCGTAAATAACATAATAAAGCGGAACCATTCCAGAGGCTGGCTGGACATTAAGTACACAATTGATAAATAAATTACGGCCAGTACGAACATCGATGGTAATTTGGCAGAAATCATTGCAGCGTAGTAGGAGCTTAGGCGGTACCACTGGTTGAAGTATTCCCTCTTCAACAGATTTATTTCCGACGGAACTGTTTGCCAAAAAAAAATAAATATAAATTAGATTGTATAGGAAGAGAGTAACAGACAAACATGACATACAATAAAGCAGTACAGGCATCATTGGCAGGTACAAGTAAGCTATTACAATAGTAAACATAAAGCCAAAGTTGAACAGCGCTTTGGAAGCCAGACGTCCCACTCCGACATAAAGGCCTCCCACGATTAGTGCTAGCACTATGTTCATGTAGAACTTTAGCTTGATGTATGACTGGAAGATTTAAGGAAAATAAGATCCGTGCTGTTGGCCAAGTCATTCTCGTCGCCACTTACCTTGTCCCGCCACATTTGGAGTAGCATGCGGGTCAGCAGCAGCTTATACTGCATCCACCAGCTAGATTTCGACTGCAATAGCTTTGGGTTGATTTCCTCATCGAACTGCTCCATTTCATAGAATGACGACGCGCCGGACGTTGTGTCGGTTTTGGTGGGTGTGATTTTGCCATCGTCCGCTGACGGAGTCCACCGCGTAATCTTACCGTTGCACACGGCCTCGACCATTGGCTCCTGGTAAGCATTGCCATACTCGTGACAGGCCACCTCAATGATAAAGTCGGCCGGGTTGTATGTGACGGGACAGCTCAGCCCCAAGTATTGCATGTAGGGTACAATGTTGCTCCCAGCTCCCTGGTAAACGCATTGACCTTCGGCCAGTACGTACACAGTGTCAATCATCTCAAAGATCTTGGCGGACGGGGTATGTATTGAGCAGATTACAGTGCGCCCCCCGGCAGCCAACATCTTCAATAGCGACATGCACTGGGAGCTAGACAGATCGTCCAGGCCGCTTTTGGCCTTCAATTAGGATTTACAGATTTGGAAATACTTATCATGCACTTACGTTGTGGGCTCGTCCAGGAAAAGGACAGGTGGATTATTGACCAGTTCAAGGGCAACGCACAAGCGCTTCCGTTCACCTCCAGACAGCCTTAGAGCTTTTGTGTTTTCTGATTTTTTTAATCGTAGCATTCCCAAAATTTCATCTATCTATGCAATATTGATCAAATAAACTCAAATATAAATTCGTTTCGATGTATGTATTTATGGTACTCACAACTTCTAGCTTTTGTTTTAAGCGCAGATCATTTCCCAGTTTCAGATGGGCGGCTAGGAGCATCATTTCGAGCACAGTAAATTGCGGATCAAGAACATCGGTCTGAAAAGCATTTGAAATTAAATCAACCTTCTGGACTGGACTGCACAGCAGCAAAGCCCTTGTACCTGCATTATGTATCGGGACATTTTCCGGAAGACTCTCATATCCCTTGGATGGCTGTTGACTAATATCTCGCCGACATTGTTGACAGCCCTGCACAGGGTATCATAGTTTAAGTCAGTGATCAGTGGTAGGTGAAAATCAGTTTGATATATCTTACCCAAATCCCGCTAGTAGGTTCAACAGAGTCGTTTTCCCAGCTCCTGAGGGTCCCATAATCGCGGTCAGTTCATGAGAGCGAAATTCACCATTCACTTCCCGCAAAATCTGCTTCGTCTTTTGGGCTGCAAGACGCGATGGGTCATTAAAAGGTGATAGTAGGTGAACTAAATAGGTGACAGTGTGATATGGAATGTATGAATTGTGGTTAAATGGCACATACACTCATGTACATATTTCATCAGATGAGTATAGAATTGACGTCGATAATTGTTGTTTAATATATGCATTTTTAGCCACACAAAATAATTGGACATGCAGTGCAATTACTTGGGAAAATATCCCCAATTATCATTCTTAATAATGCAATATTATACACGATACGTTCATTAGCATTTACTTAGCTGTAATGAGTGAGTGGCCCTCGCATTAACTTACCGTTGCATCGGTCCGGAACTTCACAATTTAGTCCCGTAAACTGCAAGTTAACTGCTGGCCAGGCTGGCAAATACTTTAATCCGTTAGTAGATTGGAAATCCTCTGAATGGTCGGGTAGTTCAAGGCTTATGGCATTGATATCGCTGCTGTACTGCAGCGAACTATTTTGGGAGCTGGTGCTGCCTTTGATGCTACTAGTCGATTGCATCTTGATTGCCTGTTAATACCTCAATAAGTAATTAATGCCGTTGTTTAGGTTGAAGTCATTGCCCCTGAAATGTAGGATGGGAACAAGCTTTAAGTAAACGAGTAGAGCTATAACCTCTCGATACTGTTAGGCGCAATCCTCGACGGCGCTTTTCGCTCTGTCTCACTCTCTCTCTCTCTTTCTCGACGCGGTCAGTATTTTTTGTCTGTTTATTTGCATATTGGTAATCAATTAGTAGTCAAAATCACATGCAATGTGGAAATAAGTAAATAATTGTAAACCAGTTTGTCAAAAGTATTCACTGCTTGTTCGTTGTCTCAAGACGTTTTGTATTATTATTCTAATTAGCGATGCGGGCACTTGAAACCTTTCATCCCCCTACAAGTGAGTATTTGCATTTATTACAATTACTTACGCTTCGATACGACTGCAAAACGCGGTGCTTTCGTTCTGGAAACAAATTTCGCACTGAGCAAAGAACTTTTTAAACGAATTTCATTTCCTCGGCTGGAGCGGGAACGCGCGAGTGCTGTGCTGTGCTAGAGCGCAGCTCGAAAAATAAACTCAGATTTTCAATTGATTGAAAGTAGTACGGGAACGACTGGCGGCCACAGCATGAATTCTGACCGAGTGACTGACTGACTGACTGGCTGGTTGAACAGCCGGCTGACTGTATGCCGATCCAATCTGGGTGTCTGAGTATCTGGGTATGTGGGGGAGAGTAAGTATCACGTCACGGGTTACTGGTGAGTAATTTCAGTAGAGGCAGGCAAACAAAACTTGTCCAGAATTTTGCAACTACCACGTTGCGCTGTCCCAGCCGGAGCCGCAGCCGAAGATAAGCGAGCGGCAACTTCCAGTTCAAGTTGCTGTTGCAGTTGCAACTGCAGTAACTGCACAACAGCTTTGGGGAATACGAATACTAGTAGAGAACGTTATCAACTTGTACATATGTACAGCAGAGCAACAGCGGAAGCTTTATTGGATTGATATTTGAGGGCGACAGCTGATAGCTATGTACATATACTCCTCTTTTTCATTGTTTATCTTTACTTGGCTCTCATTGATTGCATGCTCCATATAATTCTCCGCATTAGTGCATGGAAGTATAAGCCCGAACAATATACAGATGCATACAGAATGATACTCGTACACACGTTTCTGAACTGCTTCACTTGGCTTTGTTCGTGGAAAGTCTTAGCGGCATGGCATGAATACAAAATAGGAGCGAAAATCGGTGGGAACAGGGTGCGTGCCGTCACCAATGGCCTTACTTAAAAGTCTTTTGTATCGTACTGTTTACGCGTTTGAGTACCATTTCCTCAAATATTTGGGTATTTCCAGTACCCAGGTCTTTATGAATATATCCATGAGTTTGTATGAGGTGCCGTGTAAGGGTATGCAAGAGGCGACGTGCCAAAAGATTCTTTATTCTTTGTTTCGTATCTTGTCTTTTTTGTGTGAGTAATGGCGCATGCAAATGCAATGAAGCGGCGAATGTTGAACTTTGCTTTGACTGTGCGATATATGATTAAAAATCCCATATGTACACATGTATGTATGTATCTATGAAGCATAGGCTAAATTCACCATACCATTATAATTATATGCGACTATTTGTATGTACGAGTATTCCCACATTTATCAGGGCATATTCGGGCACCGAGCTTTATTTTGGTGTCCCAGAAGCAGATTTGTCTGACATATACTAGTGTCAACATTGGCGCTAAGAGAAGCGGGCTCCAGACGCTGTTAGAGGATTCTTACATCTATCACAGTGTTATCACCGACTCCAACCGGATACGTGGTGGCTATATTTCTAAATGAGATAATTCCGAGTGCAATCAGTTGACTTTTCAGTGGGTTATATAGTGGGTTTCCGACGTTATCAGAACGTTAGATCATAATGATGATTCCCTTAGTTGACCCAACAATCGATTAAACAGTACTTGCTGATTGTATGTGCCAGCGGGAATTGGCACGGCGGCTGAAAATATTTTCTATCATATTTTTGTACGTACATACATACATACATATGTGTATATGCACACAACCACAATCACACTCGCGCAGCCATTCCGACTTTCAGGTTCAACGAACGCGCTTAGATATTGCTGCTGGTGGGTATTATTATGTATTTACATCTACATCTGCGTAAGTGCACCACTCGCTGGCACTAGCCTTCACCACAATCGGAGAGGGAGAGAGAAAGGAGAGGGTCGTAGAGCTTCATTGCACTTACTCCGCTTTCTTTTTGTTGTTGCTGCTCGCGTTAGATTTCCACTCTCTTTCGCCTGGCAAAGGCAGCTGTTTACGGGTGGCATGGATGGTGGGGAGACTGAGAGTCGGCAACAACAACGACAATGACAACTACAACGAAACCGGCAGCAGCGACGACTTGTTGCACCAACGACCGAAAATGTACTGAAAGCAAATGAAGGAAGAACAACAGAGTGGCATGACTGCCCCCTGCCCACAGAAGACAAAGAAAAGTGGAAAGAACACTTCTAGGCAAAGAAAGAGAGCTTTTTTCATCCTATGCAGCAGCAAACCCTTGGCAAACTTGTTCGGCAGCCTCTGATTTTCGATACAGCAGGATAACATACTCTATTTATAGGCCCATCCTCTAGAAATGATCTGTGCAACGAATGTGTAAACAACTGTCAATGCCCATGCCCCAGTGGAATTCATTATTCACATTTAGATAGTCCACAAGTCTAGTCCCAAGAAAAAGTTCTCATTACGAACAGTAAGAACATAAGGAAAGGGGGTACTGAGAGCTGGGATGAAGAACTTAATGCGAGAACATTAATGTTGCATGAAATTGGAAAACCGTTCGCTAAATCTTTCCAAAATGATGGTGACTTTGAAACCGCTGGCATTTCTAAACCATTTCCTACATTTTACTAACGAGACGCAATAGCAAATTCATTGCGACGGCATGGCAAATGTTCCTCGATGCAATCAGATTTCGTATTCATTTGACAGACGTGCAGACTCGCAAAAGAAACAAATTTGTACCAATTGATATTTTTTCCTCTTTAGCCATTTCATTTTAATTATTTGTGCAATGATCGCCAACGCAATTAAATTGAAGTGACGCCAGGTGGCGATCAATATCGGCCACATAAACAAATTATGACATACTTTTGGGCTGACTAAATCCGTAGCCTTGACGTTGAAAATCATTAAAAAAATTATCTAGAATTAATTTTTGCAGAATATAGAACTGTAGTGTTTTACAAATAAATTCGTTATATAGTAAACTTCGTTGTACCTAAGTTCGTAATACAGAAGCTCGACTGTATTTTCCAATTCCATTATATTTCTCAGCCATACATAAATCGGCCGATTATCGATGAGTTTTCCACAAAATGTGTGTTTCTCGTCTTTATCCTCACGATCCTGAAAGAACAACCCTTACTGATCAGACTTCATTTACACGAAATACAGCGCCCAAACTTTTGTTTTGGCCAATCATTTTATAAACAATTCTCAACGAAGAACATACAACTATATTTTTTTTATTTATTTATTTATATATTTGAAGGCTGACAATACAATTCTTAACCTGAGAGAAATTGTGGAAAACTAGCTGGCAGGTCATCGGCTCTTTACTATAAGTTTTAAATTTGATATACAAGTATTGGCTTGTATAGATAAGTATTTAACAGCCAGAAGGAAGCGTTTCCGAGTCCATAAAGTATATACCTAAATTAATTCTATATCAGTATCAATATAGCATCAATATTTGATCGGTCCATACATAACCATGTCTGTCTATCCAAGCCCGCCTGTCAATTTCCCTGATGTCGCATCTGTTGGCAATGTTGATGGAGATCTTCCGTACTTTCTGCGAAGGCTTCTCAGGGTCTTAGGTTTTGTACTCATGTGTAATTGCTGGTCTATCAGATCGGATGATCAGATGACTGTGTATTATTGGTTCCTGGAGTAAATCGAATCAAGACTTTTTTGTACAGCATTTCTTTATTTCCTCCACGAATCAACTATAAATATATATGTGATTACAAAATATGTTTTTCACTTAAATAACATGTGAATTTATCAGAAACCTGTATTTTAAAAATTGTTATAAAATAGTTTCACACAGTCGTAATGTAATGCATCTTGAATACAAATTGCAAAATTTTTTGTTGTTGTACATGTATATATGTATAAAATATGTTTTTGTTCACGGACGACAATATATAATTTCCTCCTTGCTTGTACACATTTCAAAGGTCACATGAAAATAGTATATATTTAATATTATATTGGTTTTGGCAAAATAGTGTGATTTGATGTGTGAATTTTTCTTACCTATAGCCCTATATTTGCTTACTCCTTAATTGTGGTTTGTTCAATGTGATTTAGTTTGATCAAATGTTATCTTTAGCTACATCTGGGGCTGGAATAAAGCGCGTATCACTTAGATTATGAATTTCGCAACTAAAAACTAGGCAAAAATAAAATGTACAAGGATTAAAAATTAAGAACCCAGAACGCTTTGTTGTTAACTAAATAGGTATTAGGTACATAAAAAGCTTTTAGAACCGAAATCAATATTTAATTTTACAAAAACCTAGCGCACAGTCTTAAGCTTCCAGCGCAAGAACAGGTACGCTGAAATGCGCAGCACCACAAAGATCACGACAAGGGCCACAATGTCCAGCGTAAAGTTCGCGTTCACCATGTCCAGCTCCTCCAGCGTCGTGATGGGCGACTTGAAATGGCAATAGGTCTGGAAGCATCGCAGCTTCTCACGCTCGTAGCCGTAGGTGGCCAGAGCGGTGCCCTCGAAGCCGTAGCGGATGTACGATAGATACGTGATCCAACGTAAGTACACCGGTATAGCGTCGAAGGAGACGAAGAAACCGGAGAACAGCAGGAATGGCACAGACATAACCGGGGCAAGGAAGACTCCATTCTGGACGTTCATGGCAGCGCCAACCACCAGACCGACGGACTGAGCGACGAAGGAGATGAGTAGGCAGGCCGACAGGAACATCGAGAACCGGAACAGTTCCCAAGGTTGCGAGGTGAAGTAATATACGATGGATACGTAGATGACACAGAAAATTGCCTGGTAAAAATAGAAGATAAATATTCGTTCTGTGGTTCGTTTAAAGGGCTTTGAAAAACTTACTTGAAATGGTAGATCAGCCACTGATATAGCCAGATAGTAGGATTTCAACGAATACCAGCGATTAAAGTTCTCCTTTAACAGCACGGGCATCTCAAGTGGGACTAAACACGATGGATTTGATACACATATGAGTACATAATATACATATATTGTGTTGTTAAATCACTTACATGATAGAATCGTTATGGTCATTGAGGTGTACATGAGGAACAACATGTTAAAGAATTGATTGCCTGTTAATACCTCAATAAGTAATTAATGCCGTTGTTTAGGTTGAAGTCATTGCCCCTGAAATGTAGGATGGGAACAAGCTTTAAGTAAACGAGTAGAGCTATAACCTCTCGATACTGTTAGGCGCAATCCTCGACGGCGCTTTTCGCTCTGTCTCACTCTCTCTCTCTCTTTCTCGACGCGGTCAGTATTTTTTGTCTGTTTATTTGCATATTGGTAATCAATTAGTAGTCAAAATCACATGCAATGTGGAAATAAGTAAATAATTGTAAACCAGTTTGTCAAAAGTATTCACTGCTTGTTCGTTGTCTCAAGACGTTTTGTATTATTATTCTAATTAGCGATGCGGGCACTTGAAACCTTTCATCCCCCTACAAGTGAGTATTTGCATTTATTACAATTACTTACGCTTCGATACGACTGCAAAACGCGGTGCTTTCGTTCTGGAAACAAATTTCGCACTGAGCAAAGAACTTTTTAAACGAATTTCATTTCCTCGGCTGGAGCGGGAACGCGCGAGTGCTGTGCTGTGCTAGAGCGCAGCTCGAAAAATAAACTCAGATTTTCAATTGATTGAAAGTAGTACGGGAACGACTGGCGGCCACAGCATGAATTCTGACCGAGTGACTGACTGACTGACTGGCTGGTTGAACAGCCGGCTGACTGTATGCCGATCCAATCTGGGTGTCTGAGTATCTGGGTATGTGGGGGAGAGTAAGTATCACGTCACGGGTTACTGGTGAGTAATTTCAGTAGAGGCAGGCAAACAAAACTTGTCCAGAATTTTGCAACTACCACGTTGCGCTGTCCCAGCCGGAGCCGCAGCCGAAGATAAGCGAGCGGCAACTTCCAGTTCAAGTTGCTGTTGCAGTTGCAACTGCAGTAACTGCACAACAGCTTTGGGGAATACGAATACTAGTAGAGAACGTTATCAACTTGTACATATGTACAGCAGAGCAACAGCGGAAGCTTTATTGGATTGATATTTGAGGGCGACAGCTGATAGCTATGTACATATACTCCTCTTTTTCATTGTTTATCTTTACTTGGCTCTCATTGATTGCATGCTCCATATAATTCTCCGCATTAGTGCATGGAAGTATAAGCCCGAACAATATACAGATGCATACAGAATGATACTCGTACACACGTTTCTGAACTGCTTCACTTGGCTTTGTTCGTGGAAAGTCTTAGCGGCATGGCATGAATACAAAATAGGAGCGAAAATCGGTGGGAACAGGGTGCGTGCCGTCACCAATGGCCTTACTTAAAAGTCTTTTGTATCGTACTGTTTACGCGTTTGAGTACCATTTCCTCAAATATTTGGGTATTTCCAGTACCCAGGTCTTTATGAATATATCCATGAGTTTGTATGAGGTGCCGTGTAAGGGTATGCAAGAGGCGACGTGCCAAAAGATTCTTTATTCTTTGTTTCGTATCTTGTCTTTTTTGTGTGAGTAATGGCGCATGCAAATGCAATGAAGCGGCGAATGTTGAACTTTGCTTTGACTGTGCGATATATGATTAAAAATCCCATATGTACACATGTATGTATGTATCTATGAAGCATAGGCTAAATTCACCATACCATTATAATTATATGCGACTATTTGTATGTACGAGTATTCCCACATTTATCAGGGCATATTCGGGCACCGAGCTTTATTTTGGTGTCCCAGAAGCAGATTTGTCTGACATATACTAGTGTCAACATTGGCGCTAAGAGAAGCGGGCTCCAGACGCTGTTAGAGGATTCTTACATCTATCACAGTGTTATCACCGACTCCAACCGGATACGTGGTGGCTATATTTCTAAATGAGATAATTCCGAGTGCAATCAGTTGACTTTTCAGTGGGTTATATAGTGGGTTTCCGACGTTATCAGAACGTTAGATCATAATGATGATTCCCTTAGTTGACCCAACAATCGATTAAACAGTACTTGCTGATTGTATGTGCCAGCGGGAATTGGCACGGCGGCTGAAAATATTTTCTATCATATTTTTGTACGTACATACATACATACATATGTGTATATGCACACAACCACAATCACACTCGCGCAGCCATTCCGACTTTCAGGTTCAACGAACGCGCTTAGATATTGCTGCTGGTGGGTATTATTATGTATTTACATCTACATCTGCGTAAGTGCACCACTCGCTGGCACTAGCCTTCACCACAATCGGAGAGGGAGAGAGAAAGGAGAGGGTCGTAGAGCTTCATTGCACTTACTCCGCTTTCTTTTTGTTGTTGCTGCTCGCGTTAGATTTCCACTCTCTTTCGCCTGGCAAAGGCAGCTGTTTACGGGTGGCATGGATGGTGGGGAGACTGAGAGTCGGCAACAACAACGACAATGACAACTACAACGAAACCGGCAGCAGCGACGACTTGTTGCACCAACGACCGAAAATGTACTGAAAGCAAATGAAGGAAGAACAACAGAGTGGCATGACTGCCCCCTGCCCACAGAAGACAAAGAAAAGTGGAAAGAACACTTCTAGGCAAAGAAAGAGAGCTTTTTTCATCCTATGCAGCAGCAAACCCTTGGCAAACTTGTTCGGCAGCCTCTGATTTTCGATACAGCAGGATAACATACTCTATTTATAGGCCCATCCTCTAGAAATGATCTGTGCAACGAATGTGTAAACAACTGTCAATGCCCATGCCCCAGTGGAATTCATTATTCACATTTAGATAGTCCACAAGTCTAGTCCCAAGAAAAAGTTCTCATTACGAACAGTAAGAACATAAGGAAAGGGGGTACTGAGAGCTGGGATGAAGAACTTAATGCGAGAACATTAATGTTGCATGAAATTGGAAAACCGTTCGCTAAATCTTTCCAAAATGATGGTGACTTTGAAACCGCTGGCATTTCTAAACCATTTCCTACATTTTACTAACGAGACGCAATAGCAAATTCATTGCGACGGCATGGCAAATGTTCCTCGATGCAATCAGATTTCGTATTCATTTGACAGACGTGCAGACTCGCAAAAGAAACAAATTTGTACCAATTGATATTTTTTCCTCTTTAGCCATTTCATTTTAATTATTTGTGCAATGATCGCCAACGCAATTAAATTGAAGTGACGCCAGGTGGCGATCAATATCGGCCACATAAACAAATTATGACATACTTTTGGGCTGACTAAATCCGTAGCCTTGACGTTGAAAATCATTAAAAAAATTATCTAGAATTAATTTTTGCAGAATATAGAACTGTAGTGTTTTACAAATAAATTCGTTATATAGTAAACTTCGTTGTACCTAAGTTCGTAATACAGAAGCTCGACTGTATTTTCCAATTCCATTATATTTCTCAGCCATACATAAATCGGCCGATTATCGATGAGTTTTCCACAAAATGTGTGTTTCTCGTCTTTATCCTCACGATCCTGAAAGAACAACCCTTACTGATCAGACTTCATTTACACGAAATACAGCGCCCAAACTTTTGTTTTGGCCAATCATTTTATAAACAATTCTCAACGAAGAACATACAACTATATTTTTTTTATTTATTTATTTATATATTTGAAGGCTGACAATACAATTCTTAACCTGAGAGAAATTGTGGAAAACTAGCTGGCAGGTCATCGGCTCTTTACTATAAGTTTTAAATTTGATATACAAGTATTGGCTTGTATAGATAAGTATTTAACAGCCAGAAGGAAGCGTTTCCGAGTCCATAAAGTATATACCTAAATTAATTCTATATCAGTATCAATATAGCATCAATATTTGATCGGTCCATACATAACCATGTCTGTCTATCCAAGCCCGCCTGTCAATTTCCCTGATGTCGCATCTGTTGGCAATGTTGATGGAGATCTTCCGTACTTTCTGCGAAGGCTTCTCAGGGTCTTAGGTTTTGTACTCATGTGTAATTGCTGGTCTATCAGATCGGATGATCAGATGACTGTGTATTATTGGTTCCTGGAGTAAATCGAATCAAGACTTTTTTGTACAGCATTTCTTTATTTCCTCCACGAATCAACTATAAATATATATGTGATTACAAAATATGTTTTTCACTTAAATAACATGTGAATTTATCAGAAACCTGTATTTTAAAAATTGTTATAAAATAGTTTCACACAGTCGTAATGTAATGCATCTTGAATACAAATTGCAAAATTTTTTGTTGTTGTACATGTATATATGTATAAAATATGTTTTTGTTCACGGACGACAATATATAATTTCCTCCTTGCTTGTACACATTTCAAAGGTCACATGAAAATAGTATATATTTAATATTATATTGGTTTTGGCAAAATAGTGTGATTTGATGTGTGAATTTTTCTTACCTATAGCCCTATATTTGCTTACTCCTTAATTGTGGTTTGTTCAATGTGATTTAGTTTGATCAAATGTTATCTTTAGCTACATCTGGGGCTGGAATAAAGCGCGTATCACTTAGATTATGAATTTCGCAACTAAAAACTAGGCAAAAATAAAATGTACAAGGATTAAAAATTAAGAACCCAGAACGCTTTGTTGTTAACTAAATAGGTATTAGGTACATAAAAAGCTTTTAGAACCGAAATCAATATTTAATTTTACAAAAACCTAGCGCACAGTCTTAAGCTTCCAGCGCAAGAACAGGTACGCTGAAATGCGCAGCACCACAAAGATCACGACAAGGGCCACAATGTCCAGCGTAAAGTTCGCGTTCACCATGTCCAGCTCCTCCAGCGTCGTGATGGGCGACTTGAAATGGCAATAGGTCTGGAAGCATCGCAGCTTCTCACGCTCGTAGCCGTAGGTGGCCAGAGCGGTGCCCTCGAAGCCGTAGCGGATGTACGATAGATACGTGATCCAACGTAAGTACACCGGTATAGCGTCGAAGGAGACGAAGAAACCGGAGAACAGCAGGAATGGCACAGACATAACCGGGGCAAGGAAGACTCCATTCTGGACGTTCATGGCAGCGCCAACCACCAGACCGACGGACTGAGCGACGAAGGAGATGAGTAGGCAGGCCGACAGGAACATCGAGAACCGGAACAGTTCCCAAGGTTGCGAGGTGAAGTAATATACGATGGATACGTAGATGACACAGAAAATTGCCTGGTAAAAATAGAAGATAAATATTCGTTCTGTGGTTCGTTTAAAGGGCTTTGAAAAACTTACTTGAAATGGTAGATCAGCCACTGATATAGCCAGATAGTAGGATTTCAACGAATACCAGCGATTAAAGTTCTCCTTTAACAGCACGGGCATCTCAAGTGGGACTAAACACGATGGATTTGATACACATATGAGTACATAATATACATATATTGTGTTGTTAAATCACTTACATGATAGAATCGTTATGGTCATTGAGGTGTACATGAGGAACAACATGTTAAAGAACAAGAAACCGAGGTTGCTGAGCACCTTGGCTCCATCATTGCCAATGTCGTAGTAGAGGGCTCCAATCAGAAAACCAACCAAAAGATGAGCAAACAATCGTAGGTACATAAGCGTCTATGAGAAAAAAGTTATTATTGCATTAGTTATTGGTTCTCTAAAAATTTTCGCAGGTGCCAAACTTACCCAATCGCGATAGCTGAAAAGCAAAGTTCGCTTGAGCACCACCCAGAACTGATGGAACTGCGACGTCGGGTACCGCTCCGGCGATGTAATCTCCTCCGAGAGCAGAGCCGTTGTACAGTTGTCCGTCTTCTCCACGTCAATCATGGCATCGCCTTTCTCATTGGTGCTGACCACGGCAGTCCCAGTGTTGGTGTTCTTCACAATATCGTTGACCATTCCATTTAGCAAACCATTGTTTAAGGTCAGATTGTCCTCGTACTTGCTTCCGCTGACGTTTGAGGCATCGTTCTTGTCCAGGATGGCCTTCAGATTTTGTACCTTCACCAGATCATTGCGGGCCTTCAGTCCAGCATAGTCCGCGGAGGAACGGATGTCCCTCTTGCCATTGTCGATTGCCTCCACCAGTTTGCGAGTGTGATCGCCGTGCTCCCCGCAAGAAACCTCAATGACATAGCTTGCCGGGTTGTGGTAGCTGGGGCACTCCAAGTTCAGGGTGGAGAGAAAGGGCACCAGCTGCTTGGTGCTGCCCTGGTAGACGCACTGTCCGTCCGCGAGAGTGTACAACTGGTCGAACATCTCGAACAGACGAGCGGAAGGCTGATGGATGGTGCAGATGACTGTGCGTCCACCTGCGGCCAGCATTTTCAGGAGATGAATGCACTGGAAACAGGTCGAGCTGTCCAGGCCGGAGGTGGGTTCGTCAAAAAACATGATGGGTGGATTGCTGACCAGCTCCAGGGCAATGGATAGACGCTTCTTCTGGCCGCCTGACAGATTGCGAGTCATCGTATTGCGGTGCTCGCTCAGGCTCAGAGTCAGCAAAATGTCATCGATCTGTAAGAGACATCTAACTTATTAGCGCTGTGGAATTTCCTTTCATTAAGTTTGGTTTTTGCCTGGCCGCGATGACTTGCAAGACTTTTGAAAATAGCCTAAACAGACTTCCATATTGTCACCTACGGGTATTGTGATATATTCTGCCAGAAACTGGCTCTGTTCTGAGTTAAAAATATGCGTCGGGAATACAGACACCTAAGTCTGGAACTTTGATTTAGCTTGCCCAATTCATAATTGAGTGTGTTGTCTGTATGTACATACTTATGTGCCTGGCCGTCTGTCTGTACTTTGATCGAATTACTTACCATTGAATTCTTCTCAGGCTTTGTGAACTTTTTGCTGAGCTTTAGATTCGTTGCCACCGTCATCGCTTCCTGCACAGTTAGATTTCCGTGCAGCTGATTATCCTGCATTATGTAAGCGGATAACTTGCGGAAAGCACTCAGGTTGCGTTCGGCGCCGTTCATGGTGACGCTTCCTTCGATGCTCGAGGTTCTGCAGGAAAAAATAAAATCGTATTTAAGGATGCTATGGACTTGCTGTGGCGAATCCATCAAGGACTGATCACGGCCATCGGAAAGCTTTTCATAAGGTTTCCATCTAAAAAAGGTCTCGTTAAAATGCATATGCCTACCATATTGGCATGTTGGCAGGCCCGTGGAGACAGTTGCTTCATTGGTTATCATTGAATTTTGAACAGAGCTAATAACACAGATAATTAGACCCTATTTTTTCCTTGCATATCTACGAGTGTGTACACTTATATCATATATTAAAGTACTAGTATGTACATAGGCATGTGTACAGTATGTGCACGCGATTGGAGAACTGTTGCGCAAAGAGGTTGGTTCCAAAGTTCAGCAAACTAGTAGCGTATTCCCACACAAGTATTTCAACTAATAAAACACAAACAAAGCGAGGCGCTGATTACACTCTGATATATGTGTATATGTATGTATGTAAGTACATATGTACATGGCATGACAAAAATCGGCTTCCTGCGATTCAGTCAACCTCTCGTTCCCATATCGATTCATGGCGATTCATGGCTAGCGACTTGTCCGCCGCCTAGCTCCTAGTAAAAACAGTAACAACTAAGCAAGTTAATTTGAAATGTTTATGATTATTATGCCGCACAGCAAAACTTCTTCAACGTTTTCAATAAACGAATAAAGATAATAACTTTGGAAGGGACGGATGAGGATTCCGTACCCACGGTGCATAAATTATATAATTTCAAAGAACCCATTCTGTGCTCGTGCAGAGTCGCGAAAAGGTCGGCGGTTCAAGCTCTCTGAGAGGCAGTGTACTTATCAAGTCGTACATATTTCTTTATAGTAATGCTGATAATACAGGGCGGGCTTATAAATATACTCGCACTAGCACTAGTACGGCGCAACAGGCACCGTGTGCCGTACATTCTGGTGTATTTCCACAAGGTCATAAACACACATACACACATGCGAAAATATGTACCAGCTACTCGTTGTGAATGCAAATTATCATCATCGGCATCAGACAAAGCCAAACTTACTTGTAGCCAGACAAAATATTCAGGAGCGTACTCTTGCCAGCGCCGGATGGTCCCATGATGGCTGTGAGCTCTCCTGACCGCAGGCGCCCGCTGACGCCCTTCAGAATTGTTTTGGCATCTGAAATGACAAGATGTATGAAATTAGTGTTTTTGGGGAAATCTTTTATCAGGCCTAAAAATAGTCGCCTTCATGATTAATCTAACGTTATTGAACCAAGCGCCGCCACTTAACTATGGCGAAGCTATTAAATGTCATCGGACGATCAAGTGTGAAGTGAAGTCAATAGGTAAAAAAAATAAAAAAAAGACTGGCAATCAAACAGCATAACCCGGTCATTGGCCCCTGCCTGCGAGCTTTGTTGCCCTCCATCTCCATCTGGACGCCGCGGCGTCTGAGCGGTGAATGCAGACAATAGAGCTGTGTCTGAAGCTTTACAAGCGCTGGTATTCAACGATTCCGGTGATCAGATAGTCCTTAATGTTTCTTGGGTGCGTTTTAGATTGTAGGTGCTTTCAATAACATATTCTTGAGGGTTTTAAACGATCCGCCTCAGAATCACATATTGGCGTATTCTTTTCAAATAAAAACAGCTTAGATGAATGAGCAGACGCGGAAGTGCCTTATGTACACCATACACCATATGAATAAAATATAAACTAGAAAATAACATCTGTGGAGGAAAATGCTAATAAACCAGTTTGCTCTCGGGCACGCGCGGATATTCGCAATTGCCGGTTACGAATCTTCGCCAAAGATGGACATATCGACCATTTGTATGGCTCTCAGGTAATGATCTTTTGTCATTGATGCGATCGTAGCAGACTGCGATCGCGGGGCTGTGGGTTAGTGGTAGAAACTACTAACTGAAGAGATGTTGTTTTAAATGGCCATTACAAAACAATCCAATTTAGGCGTGTCGTAACTCAGACTAGTTACTAGTCAGTTGCCGTGACCTATAGCTTCGCTCTAGCGTTCACAAAAAACTTGAATTGTACGAATCTCGTGCATATGTACATAGGTTGGTTTAATTTAGTTGCCCGACAGCTCACTTGATTACAAAATACGGCGCTATATAAGCTGGTAGTGAACCTCAACTGACAGACTGCGACTGCCAAGCCGCATACTAGCGTAGCCACTAACTATACGCAATGCTTCGCATTGAATTGCCGCATATTGCAGCTGCCACTGGCCCGCAACTCGGCTGTATCCGTCCCGAAATTGGGACTGGGGCTGGAGCTATGGCTGTGGCTGTGGCTCGACTGAAGTGCGCTACGCTTGACAAACTTTAGTCCAAACGCTAAGGCCAATTCAGAGCTGTTCATTTTATTCCACAGATACTCGTATCCCGAGCAGCCACTAAGTTGGCCAAAAATTTGTGCGCAGAAGAAGCTTCCAAGGGCATTTCAGTCGGTGTTTGGGGAATCAAAAGGAGGGAATCTTGCTTGTAGTTATTTTTAATTGTACAAGCAAGTGCAGCCGCCTCAAGGCGAGCACTTGAAATAAAAATCTGGAATGGCCTTTTGAGAACATTCGCAGGTATTTCCATAATTGTTTAACCCGAGTAACCCGAATGCCAACAGCGGCGGCAGTTGCTTCATGCCACTTTACTTTGTATGTATACATTATTAGCCCGAAAACTTAGCACGTCTCCGAGAGTGGCGTGCCATCTGCAAATCTTTTGCCTTAAGATGAAACATACACTCGCATGTGCAAATATACTCTTTCAATTGTAGGTAATAGGAGTGTGTATGTATGCACATACTCTTACATATATTCTTACTGACTCAATTGAGTCGTATTGCCGACCTTTGTGTCTCGTCACTGATGATTGTTATTCGCATCAGACTTAAAGGTTTGCGGCTGTGCAAAGTTCAGCTTGCTGGCGCTTTCAATTACCTTTGTACTTAGTTGAAGTTGATGTGCTTCGAACGGGCTGCGCTTAAAGCTTAAACAGGCTGTGGCAGTTACTTAAAATTGCTTTGGGATGCATGGTATCTATAGACTGGAGCGTTAAAGTTGTTGTCCTTGCATCATTTTAGCTGCATATCAAGCGATACAGAAGTGAAGTCTTTGTAGTATCTGGCCCCATACCTGGAGCTGGATCTGAGAATTGTATTGATTTATGGATTTCTGAGAACAAAGCAGCTGTGCCCATATGAATACCCAATTATTGGAAATATCGCTGGGCCATCATTACTAATTCAAAATGGACATATAGGAGGGAATAAAGCTATTCATCACATTTACTGAACATGTACTCACAGGGGCACCCCACACAGATATGACAGTCCAGGTGCATACATATGTACATACATATGTACAGATATACCATTGATTACACTTGTTTTGGATAGCAATTTATGTGTTCCGAAGGGAGTTTAACCCCAAACCTTCTTTCATATCTATCCGCCTATGAATAAAACCTAATCGCTGTGCTAACACACCAAGCACACACTCGTACTCGTACTGGTACTGATGCCTCTACAATCAAATACACGGAGAATACGGATTGGCATAGAATGCTTTTTGCTCATTAACAGCACAATAGCTACGCCAGTGTCAGTACCAGCGCCAGATCCAAACCCCCACACACTGCTCCACCCATGTTTAGCTGCGGATACATACGAAAAACAATTGTTCATGCATACATATGTATGTACATACATATGTACATATACTTGTAGAGAGAAGTATGTACATGGTTCGCATTCTTGATGCGGACATCGGGTATCAAATCAACTTGTTGACTGTCCGTCCCAATAGGAAAAATTGTGTGTGTGGGCAGTAACAGTAACTCTAGCGACTATGTATCGGTCAATGGCTTATCGCGCATTACTGTGCCCTTTGGCCACTATTCACTAGTCACTAGTCACTAGCGTTACTAGTTTAATGGGGAAATCAATCCTATAAGCTGACAGCTTACCCCACGTTCTTCACTCAGGGTGGCAACGCCACAGACAACCGCTGATATGACGCTGCGAGAACAAAGAAACCAGAAATCAAAAACCAGCACGAAGCCGGAGCGCAGCTAAAGCAAACAAGTAAAACTTGCTAAAGTTGGGGAAACAGCGCGTAGTGCGTAATAGCAACAAATCCGCTCCGAAGATGAAACTTGCAGTCGAGAAAATATACATACATATGTACATATGTATGTATAACCACAGTATTACAGAATTCGTATGTGAGGGCGGTGAGGCCTTGCCTTCCGTTGCCTTTTCATAGACTAAGAGAATGCACAAAGAAAGCGAAAACGATGAGAATGAGAATGAGCAGGCGCGTCCAGTTCATGCTCACGGTCTCTGCTCACTCTGTTGTTGTGGGGTAAAGGTGTGGAAACCTATACTTATGTAAATATGTTGGTATGCATTTTCCAGATAGGTTTTCACACTGTACTTACTGCTGCGGTTTCCTTCCTTGACGCGGTATGTCAGGTTGTGGAACGCCAAGTCCACTGCCGGTCGCTTGGGCAAATGCTGGAGGGTCTTCGGTTGGGCGGGCACAACCTGGGCTTTCAGCTGTGCTGCTCCTCCAGTACCCAGCCTGTTGTCGTTCAATAGATTTGCATTATCGCTCTTAGTCATCTTGTCAATCAAGCAATCAATCAATCAGATATGGGGTTGAAAAACAAAATGCAACCACTACTGTATTCTGTGTGTGTATTCGTATTTAGAAACTTTGACACTGCGACGCGATTCGTTCACTGCCCTGGCAGCAATATTGCACCGGGTATTTTTGTTGTTGTTCCCCTTCTGCCTTTTTCGTTCCCGTTCCCGATTAAACCACCACCGTGTGGTCTTCTCTCAGAAAATAATTCCACCCGTGCGTATGAAAGGGCGCTCCTGCTTCTCGGATTTTTGAACTTTACTCGCTCGCGGGTTGATCGTGAATGAACGGGCCCCAGTTGTGGCAGTGGAACGAAGCCAGAAATTAATACCACTGCCGCCAGGCAGAGAGTATATACCTGAAAACACACAAACAGCAACAGCTGAGCAGCTGAGATAGCTACTGCTATGCTATGCGTCTGAGCGTGATGGCACTAGTACCCCCAGTTCTTGTTCATATTCTAGCGAGCGCCACAATGGCTGCCTGTGTGCGTGTGAGCGGGGAGAGAGCGTCAGTTGGGGTATTCTCAGAGTGCTGCTCCCCAGAAGAATTCCTGATAATTAGAGTTCTCTGGGAAATTTAGACTTCGCTGGGTAATTCGTTTGGATATCATCGATACCTATTCCCATGCATGAAAACTTGCCATCTTATATTTAACTACATACATATGTATGTATGTATGTATGTACATTGTATTTCTACTATGTACTACTACATATATGTATAAAAATGCTTATCGGCCAGGCCTTGTATTGAAAGTTTATAACAAGCTGTTCTGCGCGTGGTGTAAGACATTCTTTATTGATAATCCTATCGGTTGGATAATAGATTGACCGTTTCCAAAAATAGTAAGAATGTAATGAAGTAACTAGGAAGCACATTTGTTCTGATAACGAAATCGGGTATTTCATATGTTAAATTACAAGTTCATGGCTTTGGGAAAACTGTGATTCATAAACTAATTGCATTGACGTATGGACTGCCTCGAAAAGCTTGGCCAGTATCTTTCTGATAGCAGGTTTCGTTCAGTTGATAATGTACCTTGTACTTTGAAACCTTTTATGATGTACCGGAAAACACAATTATGGGTTTCCAGTTCTATAGCTGGATACCTTGTATCGGCAGGCGATAAGGGAATACTTGTTTGAACAAACAGCTATGAAAGTTGACAGCTGTTATGCTGTAACTCAGCTAACCCTCCAACTCCTCCAATTTTATGTGGCATGAGGTCATTATATAGCGCGTGGGAATTTCGTTGGCACAACCAGGGTTTTCTGTGACTACGAATATTTCCCTTTTTTTGTGGTTTTTTAATCAAATCACAATAAGATGGTGTTCAAAGTAACATCGCATATTGACATCGTTTCAGTTTAGTGAGGAGAGGCCTTGGCTGAAGAATTACTCGGTTTAAGCATGTAACCATGTTCTGAAAGCCAAACATCTGAGCTTACTCTCTTACAAGCGCAGCATTGCTGCACTCATCAAAAATCAAAGTAGGAGAATTGCAAAATGTAGCAAAGGGAAACCGGTTTGGTGGATTTTGTCGACTTCGCGAAGTGAAAAGAGGTACAAAGTGTGTGTTAACATGGGAGGCATTTTCCAAGCACATGCCACAATTTACTCGGTTTCGTGTTTTCCTTTGCAAATTTGTTCAATTTCGCTCCAAGATAGCTTACTTAAAAGGGGTGCAGTCGTTTCCAGTTAAAAGTTCCATAAATGTTATGCAAAGTTTATATACATGTGTATTTCGACAGACGCCAATTCCGATGACTCCTACCGTGGAAATCACTAAGACGCATTGAGGTTTTCAAATTGCGGAGATCTCAACGATTGGCAGGGATTAAAAACCGGTTTCACTTCTGGCCCTTGTTGCTGTTTGCCGGGGAACATTGTGGGTTAACCGCAACTGATTTCATTTCATAAAAATGCTCTGAAGTCGCATAAACTTGTTGGGGTACATTTTGTTTAAAACCCCACTCTGCTGTGACTACTACTTACAGGTTATTATTCTCCAAAAACTGCTTCCAGCTTTTATAGTCCATGGTAATGGGGTATCAACCCTTGGAGAAGCCACAAAAAACCTGCCACAGGTCCAGGGTACAGGTTGAGCAACAAGTGGCCTTCGCAAGCTTTGACCAAAAGTGTCAAATAATCAAATTATAATCTCAATGAGTCGTTCGGAAAATAAAACTGAATTATAAAATTTATCTTTGTTGTTGCAACAACCGCAATTCAATCAGCGGCCCAAACTTTCCTTGTGGCTTGCGAAAGGCAACTAATGCCGGCCATCCATTGGAAACGATGCTAACAACTGGAAAAGCTTAGTACGAGTGACGTGACTGAAAATGATGCAGGCGGCCCAGTGGCATGCCACACACCAACACACAGAGCTACATAAAGTATGTATTTACATTGCATATACAGCGGATGGATGGTGGAAATTCGTACTCGCACACATATTCATATTGAGCTTGTGGTTCACTTCACAGTATGTACGTATGTATGTATGTATGATTTTCATTTAGTTTGCTGTATTTTTGTTATAGCGACCTGAAGCTCGGGAAATGTTATGTCAGACAGGCGGAAAACTGCTTGAAAGCTTGTTTCCCGCCATTTGCCTTTTTTTTTGGATCAGGACGTGCCGATTGCTGCGATGGAGCAGCTTATAGGCCACACTCCGTTTTGTGTTCGAGTGTATCGCTGTACATACTTTGGAGTCGATGTTGTTCGAGCTCTTACTTTGAAGAGCCATGGCCGCCAGTGCCTGTTGCTTTAATAGCAAAACCCCTAGAGAACACTCTACGATTTGAAATTTTTAGCACCGAGCCCACCGTAAAAGGCCTAAAAGCATGCAACAGGTTATGGTGTATCGCATCTAGGATGGCAGCGTACATTACAAATTCTGGCCGGGGTCTCTGATAACCACTCTTAGATTGAGAAACTCAAATGGATTTTTCCCGAAATCTTTTTCAAACGAAAAAAAAAAACTGTACTGATTCGTTGTATCGGATAACTATCCTTAGAGAAACGTTCATCAGTCACCATGTATAATAACAGCTGATCCAACAGCCCCCATAATATCTTGTTTATGTAAAATATGTATGCGTGTGTTGAACTTTGTACTAGAAATGGGTCTAGGAGCGTTTTGGTCGATGAAGTGAGAGCGCATGCATTCACCACCACCACCATCTCTTTAATGCTTAGCTCTCTCCCTGCCGCGCTGTAATACGATGGAGAGAGAGAGAGAGAGAGAGAGTCGAAAGTGAGAGCAAATATTGTGTACATCGTACAGTGCATTAAATAAAAATACACCCAGAAGAACATACACAGTGTACCACTGCTGTTTCTTAAGAAAATTGTCTTTGCCATCCATAAATCATACAAATGTTAACACCTAAAGAAAGAAAACATGTGTGTACATACATACATATGTACATATGGATCCAAAATATTACAAACATGTCTACTCATCACAACCAATGCACATATTACATTTGTCAAAGTAACGGTAGATTTAGTCTAATCTCGTAGCCTTGAAATATTCTGGTTCTCTCTGCGCTCTCAGACAGGCGCTCCGAGAGCAAATTTGTTTGTGTATTCGGTGCTCTTCCAACGCTATCTGCGCGGTGCTCGAATGTGTGTGCGTGTATATGCTGCTCATTGTCTGTTTTGGACCCACTTGTGTTGGGGCTTGCTTGGGTCTGTTTGTAGGAGACTTCATCCGCTGCCGCTGCCGCAGTGAGCGCCAGCTGCAAACGCGATAAAGAAAAACTGAGACAGACCGAGACCGAAAAGTGAATGTTGTCGCACAGACACAAGCCTTCCAAACCTCGAATTGGTTGGGTGTCCTCAGCAGCAGTTCCCACAGCAACGGAATAAACCACAGCGCAAGTCCCGCAATTCACAAAAGCCTGCCCTGCACCACCAGAAAAAATTTAGTAAGATATATAACCGTAAATTGGACAAAAAAAAGTGAAAAGTAAGTCTGATAAAAAAACCCACTCCTACACAGTCTTTAGTTAGTGCGCGGAAAAGTAGGACTGAACGTTGGAGAGCACTGAGACCCTCATCTCGCGTCCACCCCATATCAATCATCCTTGAACTGGTGCACTTACACAGTTCGACGTACACTCTTACACTCTATCTCTCTCTCTATCTGAAGTGTATTGCAGAAGTAAACGAATAATTTTCTCTACATTTTTTCAATCAAGCATCACCATGGCATTCCGCGTGGCCGGACTCTTCCTGAAAAAGGAGTTAGTTGCTCCCGCAACACAGCAGCTCCGTCTATTCCGCACATCAAAAACAGCGTGGTCCACGTTCCTGGTGAATTCCCCGAACACGGCCCTGGACAAGAGCATCCTGCAGCGATATCGTAATCTAGAGACGCCTGCCAATCGAGTGCAAGCCACCTACCTCTGGATTGACGGCACTGGCGAGAACATTCGCCTGAAGGACCGCGTCCTGGACAAAGTTCCAAGTTCCGTGGAGGACCTGCCTGACTGGCAGTACGATGGCAGCTCGACCTATCAGGCACATGGCGAGAATTCGGACACTACTCTCAAGCCGCGTGCCATCTACCGAGATCCCTTCAAGCCGGGCAGGAACGATGTCATTGTCCTGTGCGACACCTACAACGCCGATGGCAAGCCCACACCCTCCAACAAACGCGCAGCCTTCCAGGCAGCCGTTGACAAGATTGGGGACCAGGAGCCTTGGTTTGGAATTGAACAGGAATATACGCTGCTTGATGTGGATGGTCGTCCTTTCGGTTGGCCCGACAACGGTTTTCCAGCACCCCAAGGACCCTACTACTGCGGCGTTGGTGCCGACCGTGTTTACGCTCGAGATCTCGTGGAAGCCCACACCGTGGCCTGCTTGTACGCAGGCATTGACTTTGCCGGCACCAACGCTGAGGTGATGCCCGCCCAGTGGGAGTATCAGGTGGGTCCCAGCAACGGCCTGAAGGCCAGCGATGATCTCTGGGTCTCGCGCTACATCCTGCAGCGTATTGCCGAAGAGTACGGCGTGGTTGTCACCTTTGACCCCAAGCCAATGGAGGGCCAATGGAATGGGGCTGGCGCCCACACGAACTTCTCCACCAAGGCAATGCGCGCTGACGGCGGAATCAAGGCCATCGAGGCGGCCATCGAGAAGTTGAGCAAGCAGCATGAGCGCCACATCAAGGCGTACGACCCCAAGGAAGGCAAGGACAACGAACGGCGCCTGGTCGGCCGCCTGGAGACATCCAGCATCGACAAATT